ACTATATTCTTAACCCATAATTTGATTCAGTAAAATAACCGAGACTCTTCACACAATACTAACATGTATGTTCTAGACTCACCAAAAAAACGTGTCATGCAAAACCACGCTTTAACATTTTCGACTACCCTCGGATTCGCTGCTTGGCTCCGAATCCGAGGGAGATGTCGTAGCATAGAACATGCGATCCGCTTTTTAGGCGAACACCAAAGGTCCAAATGCACGTCTATCTCGTATATGCATGCATAATCGGACGCCCAGGATATTTCTGGCGGCCGGGCCGAGCCTAATGAAGATCGGATCAGTGAAGCAACCAGCCCTGCATCAAAGCATACACACAGGAGATGTCTTGAGTGGTCAAAATACAGAAATGCTGCAGTGTCGTGGCAAGACCTTTGGCCATCTGGTGGTTACGTTCAATCAACTAAACTGTATGTAGAAGGTCCTGGCCGAATTTTGAAGGATTGTCGGAGGATTCCCGCATCCTGGTTCCAATTCTTGCTCGACGCCATGCCAAGTCGGGTAAATAGCTCAACTCCGAATTACATTGCATAATTGGGTAGGATCTTACATGTAGCCTTATTGAGTACTTATCTGATGTTATCCTGGACCTGGAATTTACGATAAATCTCTCCATGGAGTGGTGAAAACAGGGATCTAGGCGGGTCGAAGGATTCCACCAGTCAGTTTCAATCCATCATCAGCTCACTTACGATGACAGGGCCGGATATCTTCATCCATACCATAGAGGAAAGTGTATATAAAGCTCGGAATAACGTAGTCAAGCATGAAGCTCAGGTAGATCACCTTCGATAGTTTAGTCAAGTCAAAGGCGTCTGTTCAACCATGTTGAAAACCACTGTTCTTGCTCTTTTCGCTGCCGCTGAGGCAAACGCTGCCTTTACCTTGAGGAAGACGTACGACTCCAGCAACTTCCTGGACGCATTCAACTTCAGAGATGTAAGAGACTCTCAACATACAACACTCCAAGCAGCGTTACTGACTCGCTACAGCGCGCCTACTTCGAGGGTCTTGGCTACGAGGGTGACCCAACTGGTGGCTCTGTCAACTACTTGAGCCGCAGTGCAGCAGTGAGCTCTGGCATCGTCCACACAAACAATGGCAAGGTTCACCTTGGCGTCAACTCTGCCAACGTAGCCGGTCCACTTAACCCTAGCGGATCTAAGCATGGACGTGGTAGCGTTCGTCTTGAATCGAAGGAATATTACACCTCGGGTGACCTTTTGATCGCCGATATTGAGCATATGCCTGGAGTTGCTTGTGGTGTTTGGCCTGCCTAGTAAGTCTCATTGAACAATCAATCTGATATAGAAAGCTAAGTCAGGTAGCTGGTCTTATAACTTTGCGGAGGACCCTATTGGCGAAATCGACATCATTGAGGGCATCAATGCTAACCAGAACGGCAACTATGTCTCCTTGCACACCTGCGGAGCGTGCATCTTCAACCGTCCCGGAGGTCTTGACCCCCGAAACAACTGCGACAAGGGTGGTTCCGATACCCGATACTGTACCAACGGACAGAACTTGTAAGTGCACCGGTCATTCATCCTGCGAATCTAGCTAACGACAACAGTGCCGGATGCGGTAACACCATGCCTTCTGGCTCCTACGGCAAGAGCTTCAACGCCAACAAGGGCGGCGTCTACGTCTCTTGGCTTACAACAGGAGCTGTTAAGATCTGGTGGTTCCCTCGCAACAACATTCCCGCCGATATCACGAACGGCAGACCTAACCCAAACAGCTGGGTTCAGCCTGCTACAACTCAGTTTGTCAATGCTAATGGCAACTGTGATGTTGGAAAGTACTTTAAGAAGCAGACTATTGTGAGTTACCATGAACGCGATGCGCATGAGTGAGATGTGCTGACAGTCCAAGATCTTCAACACGGCGTTCTGTGGAAGCAACATCGATCAGGGTATCTGGAACCAGGAGTGTAGAGCTTCTACTGGCTATGCTACCTGCGACGACTATGTTACCAACCAGCCCGGTGCTTTTAAGGAAGCGTACTGGACCATCAATTCATTGAAGTTCTACAAGGAGTAAGCCGGGATACACCATTGCGAGAACGTCTATGATCGATTGTTTTTGGGAACGATATTGGCCTTTTCGTACCATGCGCCGAGTCATACATGAAGACTATGTCAAGCCCCATCATAAATAAATATTGAAAGAGTTTCACTGTTGCGTCATAAAGCTAGACTGACACTATACGTTCGGTCGGTGATAACCTTAAACTCCGCGCACTGAGGCTCCGTCGATAATGGTTAAAACCGGGCCAGTTATCATCTATACTTCATGATTTGTCACGCTCAATTTGTGGCAATATGTTGCATAGTTGAAAAGAACATTTAAACATCCACGGTTTCTCTCTTTGATCAGTTGCATCCCAGACACGTCTGCATCCAATATCCAACACAGAATGTCATCATCAAAGGGTATCGTACTCGTCACTGGTGCGAATGGCTTCATCGGTGCGCGAACTGTCGAGGCTTTTCTCGCTGCCAATTACTCTGTTCGTGCAGCTGTTAGAAGTCACTCTTCAGCTTCAAGTCTGACCTCGGCGCTGCCTCCGTATGCGTCCTCGGGCCAGCTTACCACTGTTCTTGTCCCCGATTTGACTGCCACCAGAGCCTTCGATGATGCAGTCAAAGGTACGACAGCAATCGCTCACCTCGCTGCTCCCGTCGACTTTTCCAACACAGACATCGATTACGTCATTAATTCTTCTGTACAAGGCACACTGGGGATCTTAAAATCCGCCCTTAATGAGCATGGCGTCAAATCTTTTGTCTACATGTCTTCTATTGTGACCGTTCGAGGAAGAGCGCCAAAGTATGCGGAGAAGGGTTACACGGAAGAAGACTGGAACGACCAAATTGAGAACGCGCTTTCAGAAGCTGGAACCAACGCGACGGGACACCAAATCTATGTCGCAAGCAAGTTAAAAGCAGAGCGCGCATTCTGGGAGTTTCGGCAAAAGCATGCTGCCAGCACCAACTTTACGATGACGGCCGTCAACCCGGTCTGGGTCGCTGGACCGCCATTGATCTTACCTGAAGACCCGGAGAAGCTCAGCGAAACAGCCATCGTCACGTATCGCATCATGAACGGCCAGGATATGCCTGCCCAGGGACCTGGCAACGGAACGCATGTTGATGTGCGGGACGTTGCCAGGCTTGTTCTCTTCGCGGTCGAAAGGAAGGAGGCTGCCGATGGTCAGCGATATATCGCGGGCGGAAATCGTGTTTATGCCAACATTCAAGCTTACCGCGACTTGTTGCGCAAGGCGTATCCTGACAGGAAGAGTATCATTGGCGAAGGCGCGCGAGGAAAAGGTTATAATCAGGATTATAGCACGCCCGAGGGAGGGTTTCTGGTTGACGGAAGCAAGGCTGCTAAGTCAACGGGTCAGGACTGGATTCCGTTTGATCAGATGACTTTGGACACGGCCAAGGTTTACGAGAAGTACTTCTGAGATGATGGAATCAGTAAAGGGATAATTATTTAAAGAAATCTGCGAAGCTAAAATTGTCAATCGAACGACATCAATGGCTTGAACTTGGTTATTCCACCCCATCTTCCATTCACACACACAAACACCATACAAGGTCCTAATTTGCCGAGGTCCCAGAACTGCTGGACTCTTGCGGCTGCTTCTTCTCATGCGCTAAACACTGGTCTTTGTGATATGCAGGGCATTCGGGTGTACAAAGACGCATCCTATCTTGTGTTTCCTTCCACTTCTGTTCCTCCATCCGAGTTTGACTCAGATCAGGGGCCCAAGGATCATTCCGTTGACCACTTTGACGCATGTATTGCTCGTCGTCGGAGTCGCTGTATTCCTCCTTATCATCTGCGTACCACTTTTCCTTCTTGGCATTGCTAGCAGAGCTTTCGGCTTCTGCTGCCTTTTTATCAGCCCTCTTTTGCTTCGCCTTTTTGATCTGTCGGGCGAGCGCGTATGCTGGTTCCGTAGCGACAACTACGGGGCAAGAGAAGATGGCTTCTGAGAAGTGGTTCAGGTTTGTATCCCCGCCTTCGACATTTTCGCCTTTGGGGTCCTGCATTCGAGGATCTTTGCTTGTGAAAGGTAATGGATGGGGACGAAAGCTCGACATGATGGGCTGTAGTTCTGGATCAACGATTTTCGAGTTCAGACGATACTTTACAGAAGGGGGATGATACGAGAGGGGTTTCGGAGAGCTGGAGACATTAATATTCGACGTGATTATGCTATGTCACTATGCAGAAAGAGGTGGCAGGAAACCATTGATCTCGGTCCCGATCACAAAAACGGCGAATGAGGCTTGCATTCAATGTTTGTCAATCAGTAGTCCTACCGGGTCCTGGCCAATGAGAAAAATGGCCCCCAAATGACATGTCCTTGTTTTTCGCTTCTGATCGCCAAGTTGTAGGGCGGCAGGTGGGTGACGGAACGGTTGCCCTTGAGGGCTTTGGCCGTCAACATTGAGCAGCTGATATGTCGGTCTAAACTGTTGCAAAATGGTTAAATAAATTTGTTTTACATGTTCTCAACGGTCATTCCTTTCGACAGCACAAGGTTCGAAGGGAATATCTACGTCATAACCGCTCTTGTTATCGATAAGGTTTCCTACCCTAAGGATGCTCTAGGTTTCTTCGAATCCGATCATTTCCCGCGTCTCTTCATGCTACAGTATTCCACTGCCAAATGTCTCCTCTCTTACGACCTACGACATGCCATCATCGCAACGTCATACATAGTTGGTGCATCGCATGCCTTATTGAATACATTTCCAAGGTGGCCCATGAGATTGTTGTTTTGTCTGTCCCGGCGGCCGGTGTTCTGTCACGAACCCCGGCCGGGGGCGATGCACTGCAATTTCAACCTCTGTCGGGGACGCACTTCCAATAGGATCTAACCTACTACAGCTAGCAGGTATCCACTACACATATACTTCCGAGGAAGTAATCCTACACGCATAAGCGATTAATGGACTGGTTCCGTGGTCTAGTTGGTTATGGCATCTCGTTAACACCGAGAAGGTCCCCGATTCGATCCCGGGCGGAACCACATTTTTGTGTGTCTCTCAACATATCGCTGCTGACTGTCCGACCATTCTTGCCTGCAAAGAACATTGCTGAGTCCAGTTCGGTTTACCCTCAGAGTACGCATTGATCCTCCCACTGAAAGACTACAAGTATCAGGGCAGAAAAATCCAGCGGTAACTTCCCCGGAAACCGTTGTCACCCACATCAAGACAACGATCGAGATTTAAGACGCGACAGGATACTCACGGTTTAGTCGAGACCTATTTCCCCACAAAGTCTCTTCTTTTAATTTTCTTTCATTCTTTTTAACTAACCCGTGATACTTTATTACCCCATGAAAACACCAAACCCCGCAATGACCCCGGGGAGAATCGGGGGACTAGACCGGGCCGGCGCACACTTATTAGCTAACGGTTTCCTCCATAGTCAACAAAGTCTGAGTTTTTCAACTCCTGCGTCTCGATGGCGTTTTTAAATATGTAGGTTATGTAGTAGAAGAAGGGTAATCATTACATAACTGTTGAACACGCGGCTCCAAAAAGGTACGAAAAGTTTGCGGTATGGGGAAGAAGAATTGTTATAAAAGGGCGATTCGCCAAGTCTAGAGATTCGATATAGACCATCAGTCAGATATCCAAAATTGCAACAGGAAACACAATGGCAACTAAAAGCATCGAGGAGATCCGCTCCAACTCCCCTGCGCCCACGACAGTGAGCCTGGGACACCAGATTGGCAACCCTGTTTGTACACCCGCCTTCTCCGGATCCTGATCTACGACTAACAGTATATGCACGGCAGTCCCCTCTAGCCATGGGAACATTCGCAACCACTCTTCTGACTCTATCCCTGTCGATGATGGGTTTCCGTGGAGTCGAGACGCAAACCATCTTCATTGGCAACTTGTGTCTCGCTGCTGGCCTGTGTATGTTTGTGTCTGCTCAATGGGAGATGGCTCGCGGTAATACATTTGGATACTCTGCACTAAGTGCCTATGGTGGGTTTGATCAGCAGCAACTGTGTACCCAAGACTGACTTCCTCTTTCTAGCCGTGTTCTATGGCGGCTATGGGGTTATCCTCTGTCCATCTCTTGGTGTCCTCGAGTCTTACGGCGGAGCGACTCCCGAATACCACAACGCTCTCGGATTCTATGTCCTAAGTTCGTTTAAGCCTGTCTTCTATTGAATTCACTATAGACTAACAGAGTTTCTAGTCTGGGCCGTCTTGACACTATTCTTCATGCTGGGATCAGCACCTATGTAAGACTATTCCTGCCAGCCCGTGACGCAGACACTAACAACAGCTTAGCAACCTCGTTTCATTCGGCATCTTCACCACCATCTTCTTCTGTTTCACTCTTGACGCAGCATCAAATTTCGCTCATGCTGACGGAAAGCTTGAAGTTGCAAAGGCTCTGATGACGGCTGCCGGCGTGTTTGGGTTCATCTCTGGGCTCTTGGGGTACTACAGCTGCGCTGCCTCTATGTGTGCCGATGCGCTTCCCTTTGAGCTGCCTTGTGGTGACACTTCGAGATTCTTCAAGAAGACTTGCAAGCAGCTATGAGATACTGAGCTTCGAGGTGCTTCATGTATGCACAAAAAGGATCGTTTGAGAAGCGAGGCGAGTAAGCTTGGTCGCGATTTTAGAAGTCAGATTAAAAGAGACTTCATGTCCATTGAGCTTCTATAGTAATGAATTGCCTAGGTAACGACCTACTTATCCTTCTTTGAATCGCTGTCATCTGGTTTGATCTCTTGCCAATCCCCTTCTCCCTCAGCCTTGTCCTTGATCTCCTCCACATAAGAAAGGTCAAAAGGCGTCATCTCCCACAACCTACAGATCAATAAAACCTGCGTTCCCACAATCACAATACCGAATCCCAAAACAACAGCCCAGCCAAGTAAGACAACGGCAGTGATGGGCGAGTAAACAAGAAACCCAAGGATGCGCGGCCTTATGGCAGGGTACGTGCGATTGACCAGCCCAAAAGTAATTCGCCACGCTGACTTGAGGACCCAAGAGCCATGGAGGAGGTGCAGTGGGAGGATCAAGCTGCAGAGTAGAAAAACGATGTATTTGGAAAGACGTGAAGTGATGCGGTATTTGAGCCAGAATCTTGACGGTTTAACTGGATGCTCAGCAGGTGTCGTGTCGAACGAGTCGACTTGTTTGGCGGACCACCAGCAATTGACGAAGATGAAGGCGGCGAGGGTCCAGAAGAGATCGCTCCGGAGGTACTCGTAGCGCGCAGAGTCATTGTACCAAGAGGACTCGTAGGGTAGAGAGTCAGCTTTAACTGTCATTTTGGCGACGGACAAGATATGATTACAATGAATATAATGATCTTGAGATGAGATTTATGATGGGCATTCTTTAATATGTTGTTCTTTAAATGGCTGCCTGGGCATTAGCTACTCCGCATTCCTACCCCGCCAGGTCTCTAAAGTCGCCTAAGCGCGAGCCTAAGAAGGAATAAGATGACCAAATTATCTCGTCTCTTATGATCTCTTCTGACGCCCGCGTCGCTTTGTGTTTAGTCGGGCTTCTGTCTGATGTTGATCAATTGGGGGCGTCAGCAATGAGTTGACGATCAGGAGCACTCCATGACAATGAGTCAATGGAAATGCCTTGCAAGTCTGTTTCCATGTAGCATTTGTATCGTCAGCAGAAATTATTAGTTCGGGAATTCCATCTGCCGTTAGCCAAGGCTTTCTGGAGCTGACCCTCTAGCTTGCCACAAATTAGCGGGAATTCCCTGCAAGCAGCCCACTAACTTTACGACCCCCCCACTGCTGTTTCCGCCAACACCTGATGATTACAGGGCATCAAGCGTCGCATCAACAACTTGCAAACACCAGAAAGCTCACCCAGCGTGTCGCGCAGTTCCAAATAATTGACAGCCAACACCAATTATTAGAATCTAGACAAGGGGATATTTATCAATTCTGTTGCCTAACAAGCTAAACCCGTTGCTCTGGATATCCCTTTCAGCTATCGGCGGCCAATGCCGATTCCTTAAACCGCAGCCTAACAGGCAACCGCGAAAACTCAATCGCTTTTAAGACTGACTTTACTTCCATTGATGAGAGGGATAACACAGTTACCATTCATTTCAATATGACGCATAATCTTTATATCCCTCACGAAATCGTCCTTCAAATTCTCGAAGCGACAATACCACCTGGGCGCCCCAATCGCATCGTCGATGTGAAAAATATCGATGTGCAGAACTTAATTGCTTGGAATCGAGTGTGCAGAGCAACGTATGAACCCGCCACGAAATTTATACGACAGCATTGCGTATATATCGACTCTATTACTCGTTTGACAAGCTTTCTGAAATGTCTGGCCGACTCAAAAGATTCGGAAGATAATGGCCCGTTAGCAACTCTTCCTAGGGTTATGCGGCTCTCTGAGGTGTCCTCCGTTTACCTTGGCCTCAGTATGGAGGAGATCCAGTCCGTTCGAACAGGCGGATTGATCAGAGACCTACTTGTCACGCTAGGTGGATCTGTGCGCCGTCTCATCGTCGACCTGCCCTACCGCAGAATCGCACAGCAATACAGCATTGACGTCCACATCGACGCTCTCTTCTCCCAGGGTTTACGAGCACTTACCAACCTTGAAGAACTTACCACTCTTGGCGGTTTGCCTGTCCTGGAGTTTTGGAGAGCTGGGCTCGAACTTGGCGAAATATGGCCCAAGATGCGACGCTTATCTGGCTTCAAGATCAACCTGGGTGAAGAACAACTCTGGTACAACGTCGCTAGAGCTCGTACCCTCGAGCATCTCGTCATAGCGATGCCTTATGTACTGCGCCGGGAATCTTGGAACATTAAGCGGTCGATTGGTGGAAGGGAGTGGAATCCGGAGAAGGGAGGAGACTCTAGCTATGCTCGTCCCCTCAAGGTCGTTGTTGCGTATCATGAGTATAGCGCACCGCTTGTCGACATGGATGATGCGAATGTTTACGACCCCTGCGGGATGCTTGATGTATCTACTGTAGAGATACCTGTTATTGCGAAGCGGGTTGACTGGGTATGCAAGGACTGGTTGGTCAAGTCCGCCATGGCTGATACCGTTTGGGACTGAAGTCATATAGTCAGGGTGTCGGAAGAATTGACCGCCAAGAGCACAAGAGATGGGATGGAATATTTTGATCACTTTATGCTACCTTAGGCTAGCCTTTAGGCGACTTTGTTTCTGTGGTCTTAGCCTTGGGGGATAATTCTTCTGACACCTCGATAGTGTCATCAAATTTGCTGTATTTTATGTCGCAGCTGTGTATATAATTATCTCAAGAGTCTGGGACCATCAGAATATCGTCCACATTGACAGCTTGACCTGTAGCAATGGATCTATTAGCCGCAATGCCCGTCAGGATCGAAGCCGCGCCATCGACGTGACTCGCAGCTCTCATGTACTCATCGGACACAGGCGTTCCAAACAGATCGTTCAGCAGCACCGTATCTCCACCTCCATGCGCGCCAACACCTTCCTCAACCTGGATCTCTCTTGGCTTCTCGAAAAGAGGTCGCAGCAGGATCTTGCGACTCTCGATAGAGCCCTCAGCAGCCTGGTCGCCGCCAGAGTTGACATAGCTATTCTCAACAATCTCGACCTCAAGTCGCCCGCCCGTTCCGTTGAAGCTTACACGGAAGCCTTCCCATGGTGCGTAAGCTGTGAGGGAGTAGGAGAGACTGGCCCCGTTACGGTACTTGACGAGCACATTCATCGTATCCTCAATGCTAATCCCGTCGCCGAAAACGCTCTGGTCGCGGTAGTAGCTATCTTCATGCTCGGCGTCGAGATACATGGCCTTCAATTGAGGGTTTTGGTCGAGATGCAGTGCGAAGGGATCGGACTTGGCGACTTCACTGCCGTGCGCGCGGGTATAAAACTCGGTCTTGCCACGCTTCTCTGCGTTCTCTCTGCCGTAGAAAGCGAGGTCGCCTGTCGCAAAAACAGTTTGGGGTCGTGTTTGAAGCCAGAAGTTAACGAGGTCGAAATGATGTGTTGACT